TGATTATTTGGGTTGAATGGCAAATGGATATTTTAACTTTAAAGAGATGTTTTCCAATGAGCCTGCATTCCTACTAGCAGTCTAGGAGAGTTCCAGTTACTCCACATCCTCTGCTCGTCAGCAATGGCATTCATTGTCTCTCTCTCTCTTTTTTTTTTTGGCTATTCTAAGACGTATATAGTGATATCTCACTGTGTTTTTAATTTGCATTTTCCTAATGACTAACAATGTTGGACATCTTTTCATGTGCTTATTTTACATTTATATATCATCTTTGGTGAAAATTTTCAAATCTTCTGCTCAATTTTTAAAAATACTGGGTTGTTTATATTCTCATCATCGAGTTTGAGAATTCTTTGTATACTTTGGATACAGGTTCTCTATCAGATATGTATATTGCAAATGTTTTCTCCAAATCTGTGGCCTGTCTTTGCTTTCCCTTTGTAAGTAATGAGTAATTTATGGGAGATTACTTTTGAGACTGTGTAAATATTTTGTTCCGTATCAAACTTTTGCCCCCGGGTTTTGGCACCTGTTGATTTTCTAACTCCATCATTCCTTCTATAGTTTTTGGTTGGTATTTGATGCTAAGGAAGAGCTTCCCCTTCTTTCCTTTATTCTTCTCCTCCCTTCTTCCTTCTTTCCCCTTCCCTCCATTGTGGAGTCACAGCCCATCAATCATCCCAGCCAGCACAGTAATTCCCCTCTTTGCCTGTTGATTCAGAAGCACGAGGACGTGTCCAAGACATTATATATGCTTCTCAGCGAACGAAGCTTCTGGTTGCCAAAATTTGATATTGTCAGTCTTCTGAACTCTGCCCTTCTAGTGGTTATGAAGTGGTATCTCAAAGTGATTTAATTTATATTTGCACGATGACCAACGGTATTGAGCCCTTTTAATGTGCTTATTGGCTAGTCATATTTCTTCCTTTGTGAAGTGTTCACATTTTTTGCCCATTCTTTTATTGGGTTGTTTCGTTTTAAAAATTGATTTGTAAGAGGTATTTTTTTTAATGTATACATAAATGGGATATAGGCCTTTTTCAGATTTCTTTCTTTTTTTCTTTTCCCATTTGGATATAAGTTTTTTCTAGCACCATTTGTTGAAAAGACTTCCTTTTCCTAATAAATTGCTTTGCTATCTTTGTAGAAAATAAGTTGAGCACATATAAGTGTATTTCTGGATCCTCTATTCTGTTTCATGATTTAGTCTTATGCCAGTACCACACTGTGTTGATTACCATGGCTGTATAATGAGTCCTGAAATTAAGCAGTGTAAGTCCTTGAACCTTTTGCTTCTTTCTCAAGATGTTTTGGGTATTCCAGGTTTTTCGCCTTTCCATATACATTTTATTTATTTATTTATTATTTTTTATTTTTTTTTATTTATCAATTTTATTTTTTCAGTAAGCTTTTTTTTTTTTTTAACATCTTTATTGGGGTATAATTGCTTTACAATGGTGTGTTAGTTTCTGCTTTACAACAAAGTGAATCAGTTATACATATACATTCCATATACATTTTAGAATCAGCTTGTCAGTTTCTTTAAAAAGCCGATGGGGATTATCATTAGGATTGCATTGACTCCATAGATCAATTTGGGGAGAATTAACATCTGCAATAGTGAGTCTTACAATCCATGAACTGACTATATCTTTCCATTTATTTAGATCTTCTTTAACATCTTTCAGTCATATTATATAGTTTTCCACTTAGTGGCATTGTATATCTCTTATTTATTTATTCTTAAGTATTGGTTCTTTTTTGATGTTATTGCAAATGGACTTGTTTCAGAATTCCATCTTAAAACTGTGTGATGTGAGTGTATCTAATGTCATTGATTCTTTTAGCTAATGACCTTGTATTTTATGGTCATTTATGGATCTTCCTAAATTCACTTATATATTCTAGTAGTTATTTTGTAGATAGGATTTGTTATATAGTTAATCACGTTGTCTAGGGATAAAATTAGTTTTAATTCTTCCTTTTCAATTTTAGTAAGTTTTATTTCCTTTTCTTATTGCACTGACCTCACAATATTGAATAGAAGGTGTGAGATTAGGCATTCTGGCCTTTTCTAATCTGAAATGCTTTGTACTTTGTTTATCCCACAGCTCAGAGAGGTCTTATTGACATTCTGTTTTATCATTGATCTCAGCATCATATTTAATTACTTTATATAATTTCCCATAAATTACAGTTATTTCATTTGTTTACTACTTTGTCGTCTGCCCCTTACACAAACCCATAAGTCTCTTATGGGAAAAACTCTGTCTTCACCAGCATATAGCACGGTGACTCTTAGTAGACACTCAGTAAATGCTTTGTCAAATGAGTACATTTTGGTAGGAACTTTTAGCAGTTATGCAGTCTATCCTCCTTTCCAGTGTTTGAATCTCCTTGGTAAAACCTAGGACAGGTATTATTTCTTACAAGATTTTTTTCATATTCTTCTTTCCCTCTTTTTCATTTTTTAGGTGGTTATATATTTCAATTTCCCATAGAAACCACGTATATTTAATGCTTTCAAAAGTTCTTAATTGATCTCTTATAAAAGATAATACAATTCTTTCTACCAATTTTTGCAAAATATTTTAGTGGCAAATTGGGATAGTTTGCCTTTCCTGGATGTTACATACACTTGGAAGTTAATCAGTATTCAGGCAGTTTGCAGTGGTTCAAATATAGAAACAAGGGTAAACACATTCCACAGTTACCTAGTAAGCAGGTGTTGGCTCACTACTTTTTATTCTTTGAAATCTGGAGAAATCGCACTGATGAAGTGAACCAGTTAGGCAAATTATTTCCTTATTTTTGCCCTTTAGCTTTTGTTCTAATCTGAGTAATGCTTCATTTTTTTTTTTTTAATGTAATTTAAGTCTAATGAAGGTAAATTGCATTCAGCCTGGAACACAACGATCTAGGATGTATCCTAAAGGCAAAAAAATATCTTTCTTCTGGCTGCCCCATTTTAACAGCTGCTGTGATAGAAAGTAATGCTTCAGTTTATGTACAGACAGGAGGAAAATACTGGTTTTTTCCCCCTGTATGATGTTCCAAATAATTCTTTGGCTTATCTTACACATTGATGATGGAAATTGCATTAAAGAAGTAGGTAAACAACATATTAAGTTGGATGTTTATTCATTCATCTCCCTTTCTTCATCCTCCTCCTTCTTTCTTTCCTCTCCCTTCCAGTTTACAAGTGGAGATTTCAACAGTCCTCCACCGATAATGGAGAGAATAAATAGACAGTCAGTAAGATTTAGAGCACCCGGACAGGCCTATCAACCAACTTGGCCTAATTGCTTTTTTACTTTATTTAATGAAACACTCCACCCTATATACTGTTTCTCTTTTTTTTTTTTTCAAGTACCCTTGAAACATTCACCTAGAGGGACCAAGTTTGGGGCCAAAACCAAGTTTCAATAAATTTAAAAGCATTGGAAGTCCTACTGAATGTGTTCTCTGACCACAACAGAATTAAACAGAAATCAATATCCCAGAAATACCTGAAAAAAAAAAAAACCCCAAATATCTGGAAATTAAACTACACATTCCTGAATGACTCGTGAGCCAAAGAAGAAATGACAAGGGAAATTGGAAATTACTTTGAAATGAATGAGAACAAAAAGTCAACCTTTCTCTTATTTAAAATAAAAATATTAACATGCACATCGGTAGAGATTCACATCTTCAGTTCTTCCTACTCGTCTGCTTCTTGAATTCCCTACTCCCTCCGTATGTTGGCCCTGCTGCAGTCCCTTGACAGTATGAGCACGGCCGTGCTGCTGCTGGAGCTGTGCACCCAGCCCCTGTTAGTCTGGTCTTGCCAAGCTAACCAAGTAGTCCAAATACCTTTCTTCCAGTTCCACTGAACAAACATTTACCGTTTTCAAAGGTCATGTTCCTGGAAGCATGGAGGGGAATTTATGGGGCAACAACAGACAGGCTCAAGTTATATAACTCTTATGTTAACTTGGATGAAAATCTTTTCAAAGCTGCTTCCTTCCTGTCCTACCTGGGGAGTTCTGATCTACCTTTGCCCAACATTTTAGACTTTTTGTGTGTCTTTCTTCACTTTTTTTTTTTTTCCTGTGACTTCTGTCTCTCCTAACAATCCTTTAATTGTTTGGACCTTCTCATTGCTTTTGACTTTTCGTAATCTTCCAGTATCTCTGCCCTCAGTCTGGTGTCAGCTTGTCCTCTCCAGCTTCATTCATTCACTGAGGCTTGACTAGGTGCAAGGCATTGAGCTGGCCACTGGGTTTGGTCCTGGGGTGGGAGACTTGTAATCAGATAATTAACCTGGGTGAGCACTTTGGCAGAGGCATGTTGGAAGGGCCATCCAAACAAACATTCTTTCAACACATATTAATTGGCCTCCCACTGTGTAGCAGGCACTGTGCAATGGGGGTGGTATCCGGAGCCGAAGGTACTGATTGCTTGAAGATGAGGCATGGATCTGGGAATGGGTGATCTGCTCTGGCACGAGGTATTTGGTAGGGACTTGGAGGGACTTGAGCTAATAAGTGGTGAGAGAAAAGCCTAGAAAGGTTAGGAAAGTAGTTCTTTTGTTTTTCTTAAGGGAGTTGTAGTTCTGTTTCTGTGACGTAGCATTTATTAGCTCCATGGTGACTCTTACCAACTTCTGTATTACCTGTATCTCTGATTTCTTTGGTTAACCTTCCACTTGTTCTGGTGCCCAGTAGCAGTAAGTGGTGCTAAACGCTAGCACTGTTAATTGTGCAGTTTTTAAAAGTGGGAGGGGGAGGGGGGCTGCCAAGAGAGAAGGAGCCTCAAAGCAGGGCACCAGGGGTGTGATTCTCTTAACTTTACCTGGATTATTTCCTTTTAGGCGTTAAGTAGCCTCTTGAAACCCCCTTTTTTATTTTAAGGGTAGGGGAGGAAGAGGTTGAAACAAATGAATTTGAAAACACCCTGTGGGATAAAATTTACATTCATCGCCCACCCTGAAATTTTTTATTCTTTTTCTTTAGGTTTCTTGCTATTTAAAGATTTTTGTTTGAATGAAATTAATGAAGCTGTACCTCAGGTGAAGTTTTATGAAGAGGTAAGAAGTGACTGTTTTATCAATGCTTTTATTTCAAAAGCATATTTAAACTGTACTTTGGGAAATATTAAGACTACTAGATATCTTAGAGATTCGTCAGAAGTAATTAGTACTACAAGATATAGTTTTAGAGATGCTGACAACAACTATAAAAATCATATTTTTAAAGCTCTGTAGTGTTCTGGAATCAGTGAGGAATAGTTGGACTCAGATTCCAGAGGAGGAAGAATCATTCAGAGGTGCACTGAGCATTACCAGCCATTTTATTTTCTGCAGAAGCACGCTGATTCTGGACACAGAAGCCGAGGCAGGGGGCTGCTACTGGGTGAAAGAGAAACTAGCAAAGGTTTATGGTCACACATTACTAGAGTGACAAATTGGAGACTTGGTGGGAAAGGGTGGCCTCAAACCCATAGCTGGTTTTCCCAGCAGGACATTGGGAGGGGATCTGAAGAGGCAGGCCAAGAGCTTCTGGAAGACACATTGAAACCTCCCACAGCCTTGCGGTATTAAACGGTATTGAAATGTACACCTGTTGTGGCAGGAATCCGAAAACAGAACAGGCAAGAGATGAAAACCCCACTGAAGAGCCATAACCACTCATCACCTGGGGTGGCGGCTGGTCCAGGTGTGGTGGGCAGGTGAGCATCCAGCTTTGGCCCCTGGCAGGAGGCTGCTTCTGGGAGACAGAAAAACCAGAAGAGGTTTCTGGATCTGGAGTAAAAAACAGATGAAGCTGGGAATTCCGTGGCGGTCCAGTGGTTAGAACTCCGTGCTCTCGCTGCCAAGGGCCTGGGTTCAGTCCCTGGTCAGGGAACTGGGATCCCATAGCCGTGCGGTGCAGACAAACCCTCACCCTCCCGCCCCCCGCAAAACAATTAAAAACTTATAACATCCAACATGTTAAAAAAAAAAAAAACAACGAAGCTGGAGGAGCCCCCAAAACATGATGAGTCCCGTGCTCAAGACACATGCCAAGTTTTGAAGCTTGAGTGGGCCGGGGGGCCAAAGAGCTATCCTGAAGACTACTTAAGGGCAGAACTGAATCCAGTGCTGAGGAGACAGAGGTCTCATTGAACTCCATGGAGACCCAGGCCTTAGAACAGGGACCAACCAGAGGCAGACTGAGTCCTACACAAATGGCAGGGCAGACCAGCCCAGCTCAACCCCCTGTTGGGTGATGAACTCCCTCCCTACCTGTGCAACAGAGAATAAGGGGAGCTCTCTGTCTCTTTTGCAGGTAGAAAATAACAATATATAGAGACTCTCCAATCTTCACCATACAGTAAAAAATGATTTTCCACCTAAGAAGCAAGATCACATGACTTATAAACAAGGCAATAGAAGCAGACCCACAGATGAATCAGATATTGGAGTTAGTTGACAAGTACCTAAAAATAATTGTAAATATGTTCCAGACAATAGAGAAAAAGATGGACAAAATAATTAGATGGAGGAATAGAGAGTTTCAGCATAATTTGAATGTATTGTGGAAAACCAAACAGATATTCTAGAACATAAAGTATTTGAAATTAGAACCTAGTGGTTAGAACCAATAGCAGATTGTCACAGTGCGAGACAGGATTAACGAATAGGGAAGCAGGTCAGTAGGTCATCTCAAACTGAAATACAGAGAAAAAAGAATATAAAAAAGAAATAAGGGCATTAGAGACATGTGAGGCATACCTAAAAGGTCTAACACATGTAAAGTTGGACTCCCAGAAAGGAAGAGAGAGAATGGTACAGAAGCAGTATTTGAAGATATAATACTAAGAATATTACAAAATGATGAAAGTCAGCAGCTTACAGATTCAAAAAACTTAGAACACCCCAAGCAGGATGAGTACAGAGGAAACGTATCTTTGCACATCAATATAAGACTGTGGAAACCTGTGACAGAGAGAAAATTTTAAAAGCAACCAGAGGTTAGAAAAAGACACCTCATTTTTAAAGGGGCAGTAATATGAACAAAACGACTGTGACATATTAAAATAAATGATTAAGAAAAAAGAAAGACAGACAATGAAATGGCCATCTTTCAAGTAATGAGAGAAAAAAGCTGCCAACCTAGAATTCTTTCCTCAGCCAAAACTTCCTTCAAAAATGAAGGTGAAATAAAGATATTTTCAGACAAAAACCAAGAGAATTTGTCAGTAGTGAAACTGCATTACCATAAATACTAAAGGGAGCTACTGTAAGCAGAAGGGAAATTACCCCAGATGGAAATGCAGGAAGGAATGAAAGACATCATAAAGAGTAAATATGTATGTGAAATATATGAATGTTGACCATACAAAACTATAATATGTTTTTAGAGTTTAAAGTGTGTGTAAAACTAAAATGTATGAGAGTAGCACAAAAGGCAGGAGAGGGGTTAATAAAGTTAAAGTATCTTAAGATTCTAGGATTATTGGGGATAGTAAAAATAATAATTTGCATTGACTTGTAAAGGATGCATATTGTAATCTCTAAGGTAACTTTTAAAAGAATAAAATGTGTATGTTAAAAGAGAGGAGATGTGGAATAAAACAACACTGTATTAATCCAAAAAAAAAAAAAAAGAATAAAAGGTGGACATAAAGTAGGAGGTCAAATTGAAAATAAAGAGTAAGGTGGTAACTATAAATTCATCTATATAAATATTGATGATTACATTTAATATAAATGGACTAAATACTCCCAGTAAAAGACTAAGTTTGTCAGACTGGATAAATAACCAAAACCATGTTATATACTGCTTATAAGTGAGATGCTTTATTTATGTATTTTAAGATATTTTATTTTTTGATTAACCTATAGTTGCTGTACAATATTATATAAGTTACAGGTGTACAGTATAGTGGTTCAATTTTTAAAGAAGTGGTATACTTTAAACAGAAGGATGGAAGAGGATATGTAATATACACACTAACTGAAGCAAAGCTGGTATAGCTATACTGATATCAGACAAAGTACATGGCAATGCTACTTTGAGATAAAGAGAGATTATTTCATAATGATTGAGGAGTCAGCATCTGTATCTTACAAATAACAGAAGTTTAAAATATTTAAAGCAAAAATTGGCAGGAAGATCCAAAACAAAATCCTTCTACAACCCTAGTGGGACACCCACATACTTCAAGAACTTGTAGAAGAAACAGGCAAAAAATTAGTAAGGATGTAGAAGATCTTAATAAAGTGATGAATAAACTTGACCTAATTGACCCAGCAGAAACAGAGTTTTGCATTCTTTAAAGTACATATGAAACATTTACCAAAATAGATCATATGCTGGACCCTAAAGAAAACTTCCTACAAATTTCAAGATTGAAATTGTTCAGAGTATGTTCTCTGACCACAGTGGACTTAAGCTCAAATTTAATAACAGTGTTAAGTAAGAAATCCTTAGCTGCCTGGAAACAAATAACTTCTAAATAATTTAAGGGTCAAAGAGGAAATTAAAATTGAAATTAGAGAATATATTAATTGAAATATATTTAAGAAATGACATATGCTAATATTATTAGCATGATCTGTCTTTACCCTAAAACATTTGAAATGGTCCAAAGAAAGCATGGCATAATTAGGGCTGATATTAGTAATCTTTGTATCTTTGAAAATTGGAAGAATATTCCCTTTTTTCCTGGTTTATTGATATACATGAAAATGACATTTTTCTACATTTAAAAAATTATATTAATGTATTTCCGGGAAGAATGATCAAATGATGATGCACATTTAGCATCATGTGAAAAAAAAAGTTATCTAAATCCCAAAGTCTTGCACTGAGTATGAAGTGACTTTATTATTTCAGTCTGAATCAGGCATTTTATCTGGACGAGACTCACAGCTTGATGTGTCAAAAATTTTTTTTCTTTCCTGTGTTCTTAAAAGCTTCTCTCCAATTTCAGCATGTACTCAGCTGCTTTGTCAAAGAGAAAGCAATCTCCTTTAGTAGATGAAACAGATGGGCAACCTACGTAGTTATTTCTTAAGCACTTCTGGCCACTATGGTGGTGACTACTGCTGATGTGTTTCCATTTGAACTTTAGATATCGGAGTTTCTCTTCGTTGGCTTGTTCCTCAGCTCTTCTCTCCTCTCTCCTGGCCTGGTGTGATGGATCTGGCCTATCAGGTTATCCCCTTGGAGGAAAATGCTTCAGGGCTCCTCAGCAACTTGCTTTGTGTTCTTTAATTGACAATACCATCCACCTTGGAGTTCCAAATACAGTTGTGTAAGTCAGTACAGCCTCCAAGATGGAAGTTATCAGTAATTCTGACTCCTTGGTTTCACCAGCCTGGTGGATTCTTTAATTTCTAGTTTTATAATCCTGATCCCTAGAAAACTCTGTTGTCAGGTATCTTGCAATGTGTATGTTGTCCATTGTATTTCCGTTTTTCTGTGTCCCCAGGCGCTTAGTGGTTACCCATTTTCCTGTGGTCTGAAGTCCTAATTGCTTCTTCCAACACTCACATATCTCTGCGTTAGTTATCACTTACCTTTCCCTCTTTATCTTTCACTACCTTCTCACGTAGACCTTCCAGTAACCAATATTACCTGAACCCACCGAGCCCAGTTCTTCTTTTTATACTTTACTTATGACCTTCCCCCAGCCTAGGATGCTGTTTCCCTTTCTCGGCTTGTGGAAAGCCTTGCTTCGTTTAAGGCCAAGGTCAGTTTCTGTATTCTCCAGTAAAGCCTGTCTGTACAGTCGTCCCGGTCTTCCGTGATTGCTTTGCTTCTCTGATTCTGACACTGTCTGTTGCCTGTAACGCCCATGGGATACTTAATATACGCTCGCTGCTGGTGTGTGCGCGTCATCAGTATTTCCACTTGACCATTGTTTGACTCCTAGACAGCAGGCCCAGCTAGGATCTAGGTGCAGCTGTGCTCTGCCCTCTCACTTGCTGTGGGATGTGGTGCTGGTCACTGAGCAAACCCTGAAGCATCTACCTTGTGTCAGGCTCAGAGCTTACAAGTGTGAACCAGGACACTGTCCTGTACTTGAGCTCATAGAATG